CTGTGAAAAAATAGGTCTTTCCATGTTCAATGACATGAACAGCAGCATTTATTTGTTTCACTTTCTGGAAATCCAAATTCATAGATGGAGCTATAATAGCTCTTTGACTCCAGTTTCTGAACTACCCAATATTTAGGACCTAGTAGAAGAGTAAATATTTACACTATTGTTCAAAAGATTGAAGTTGTTAGGATTCTTTTTTTTTAAATGTTTTTGAAAGTCTCTTATGGTCACCAAAGGTTGCATTTATTTGATCAAAAAAAGTACAGTAAAACAGTAATATTGTGAAATATTACCATTTAAAATTACTGTTTTCTATTTCAATACATTCTAAAATGTAATTTATTCCTGTGATGGAAAAACTGAATTTTCAGCTGCCATTACTCTGGTCTTCAGTGTCACATGATCCTTCAGAAATCATTCTGATGATGAATGAATTGATTTCGTGCTGAAGAAACATTTATTATCATTATCAATACTGAGAGTAGATGTGCTGCTTAATATGTTTGTGCAAACCATGATACATTTTTTCCAGGATTTTTTTATGTATATAATGTTCAAAATAACTATTTATTTGAGATCTTTTGTAACATTATGACTGAATTTACTGTCACTTTTAATTAACTTAATGCATCCTTGCTGAATAAATATATTAAAGGTAGGGTAGGTAATGTTTTACAGAAATATATGTGTATACACGTACATACATCTGTGGAAGTCTCAGGACCATAAATGTTCGTCCAATCATTGCATTCGGAAGGATGTCCTATTTGCATATCTCCGCACAGCCAATAGCGAGAGTTTAGGGGCGTGGCTGGTGCAGCAGGCTGAGCCTGAGGGTGTTTAGTCAGTGTGGAAAAAGAAATTCAGATGTGGTTACAGAAGCGAAAGCCAAAACTCGAAGACTTGCCAAAATACACAGACAGACAACAAGGTAAAAAAATAAGGGTAATTACTAGTGTTTTTACAAGATGGAGGAATTGAATGGAATGTTTGGGTCGATATGACGAACTTGCGTAGTTTCTTCAAGACAGGTAAGCTAAACTTAGTTTAAAGTTCCTAATATGTTTGACCTTTTATTAATAGTAGTCTACTACTTTTACCAGTTGAGACATAACATCACTTTTTATAAACCTGTAATCGCTGTGTTGGTGATGTTTGAGTTGGGGTAGTTGTGACGCACGAAATGCTTTATTTTTTGTAGTTCTGCTAGGTGACGCTATTAGCGCAGAAACCGCCTACCCCACCTTTAATATAAAAACAACACAGTAGATTTGTCAGCATGTTATTTATTTTGACCTGTGAACACATAAACCACTTCTTTAGAAGGAATGTCATAGGCTGCGTCTACAGGGGAGGTGATGCTTGGTAGAAAAACGCTCTGAGGGCCTTCTCTTAGTCTGTTCCAGTATGTCTTCCAATTTGTTCTCATCCACATGTAACTAGAGAATTTAACATTTAACAGTTCACCATTTTTACTAAATTTGTCAGTAGAGGAATGAGTAAATGCTTCACCTGTTTTTAAAGAAGATAATTTCTCTTCTGAGTACTGTCACAGCATCAAGAGAAAAGTTTGGATCACACTTGTTGGGGATTACAAGTGTGAAGTGTCTTATGTTGTTTTGTTTTTTCTTTCCTGTCAAAAAAAAAAGACCATCTATTTCAGTAGCCTTTAGGGAACTTAAAAACATTTTTCCTTGGTAACTTACCATACATAGCCTGAATCCCCAGTATGTCGTCTCTTGGCAGTTTGTACGCTGCAGCGTTGAGAAACTTGTACTTTGGATGCATGAGAGCAGTGGGGTCCCGTGAGTGAGACAGACCCAAAGAGTGACCGAGCTCGTGTGCTGCCACCGTGAACAGATTGTACCCTGCAGGGCCATTCACATCATCACAATTAATGATGATAATAAAATAAAACAGTCTTTCTTTCTTTATCATTAAATTAATAATATTAAGAATATGTAAAAATTGTTACTATTAATGATATTATTATTATTATTGAACTAAACAGTTTTTATTTATTTACTAAATAAATATTCTACTTATCAATTAATAATAATAAGAATATGTAATTATCTGCTTATTGATATATTTTTAACCCGATTTATTTATTTTATTAATAACAATATATAAATAACAACAATACATAATATATATAATACATAGTAGTTGTATTACTAATGAATTCAATTAAAACCTTTGTTTATTTATTATTAATAATAATAATTATAATGCATACATGATGATACAAGAATAAGAATACATAAATATTCTTCCTTTCTTACAATAAATAAATAATACTAAGTAGAAGAATATGTAAACATTCTTATTAAACTGACTGAAATTTTTATAACACAAATCTAATAATAATAATCTTTATCTTCTTAAATAAAAAAAACAGTCTGTCTTTATTTATAACAATAAATTATTATTAATAATAATAATTATAAGAAGAATATAAAGAAACATAATAAGAATATGTAAATATTATAGTAAGAATATTATGTTATTATTATTATTCTTAAAAACAAGTCTGCATTTACTTATTTTTGTTTATTTATTTGTTTATTTTATTTATAGTGAATCAACAACTGGACCATCATTGTGAAATCATTGTTACTCACTCATGGTGTTGGATTGCTATTACAGTTCTTTACAAACACCCATTAGCCAATTCCACAGCTGCATTACGTGAATGATTCAGTGAGTGTTTACTGTGCTGTACCTGGTCTGCCGCGTCCCACTGTCCATGTTTCATCATCGTCAAAGTGTACATCTCCTCCGATGCCCTCTCCAGGCTCAAAAGCGTGTGCTAGCACCCCTCCTGGGCCATCGAAAGTGAAGAAGTCTCCATGAGCTACAGAAGAACGAGATGGCAGGTTCAACTTTTCAGATGTGTTTTCATAGTAAGAAGATGAAGAAAAAACATCAGATTAGATTAAAATGTACCTTTGGAGTTGAAGGAGAATGTTATATCTACCATGCCATGTTTTACTTGGACAAACTTTAGAGCAGCAGCTTCACTCCATATTTTTAGAGCCAAACGCAAGGAGTTCTCCACCTCTTCTCGACTGAGGTCAGGGGTATATCTAGCAATCCTGCAGGATTCATAGGAGCCACATTTTACAAAAGACATGTTGAAACCTGAGAGATTTAATGGGAGGAATAACAAACAAACAAAATCCTGAGGCTTTTCTCCGTTGATAGCAGTACAACCTACTAAAAACCAAGACATACTTGAAGTATAATCCATTTATTAAAGGAATACTGATATAAATTTGGATGGCAACATTGTAAAATCCATCGATCTGTGGATATTCTCTGCCGGACCTGTATGTGATGGTGTTTCTCTTCCATTTGGGCCGTCCAGGATAAAAGCTGAAGTTCTCCACATCTTGCCTCTCTCATCACACCCTGGTTTTTCAGATCAAGAAGACCACTTTCCTTCAGGTTCATTAGATCTGCATGCCTCTTACTGCGATTACGCATCTTCAGTTGATAGAATCGCTGCAGATATTCCTGTCAAACAGTAAATCTGCTTTGGTGTTTTATATATAAATATTTATGAAATGTTTCATATTAACACGGATTAACCTTATTTTATTTCGTTGTATTATCTTTTTTTTTTACTTTCAATAAGTGTAGCGATTTATTAAATTAATTATTTACTTTCCTTTATTTATAACAATAAATGAATAATAAGACATTCAAATGGTCCATCATTCTGAAATCAATCAATCAAAAACAATTTATTTACGATTTATGATTTATTTTCCTTTTATGTTTAATAATACTTTAAAATGATGGATTATTTTACATTATTTGTTTTTACAAATATATTATTTTACTTACTTTTACTGTATACAGTGTTTTACTATTATTAATAAGTAATATTCATGAAAATTATTTGAAAATGAAGTTAAATAATAATCCAATTATTAGTATTTACGTAATTAATATATTTTAATAATATGTTTTTATTTTCACTTACTGTACTATGACAACAACAACAATAATAATTATTATTATTATTATTAAGGATTTGTTTGTTTTACAAATCAAATATTGAAATGTTGGTAACATAACTCTAATACAAATCAAACTTTGATGCGCTCTGTCCAATACAAATCAAAGATTCCGGTGAAATTAAATATGTTGGACATGTAGCCTAGCGAAACACATTATGGCAGACAAACCTCAGCATGTTGGATATCCTCTGGGCTGGGGCTCTGAAGACTCACGTGTGAGGTCCTTACAATGTCCGTATTCACCATCCAACACAAAACGATCCAAGGCCACAACCAGCTCATTTTGACTATGGCACATTTATGTTCTTCTTTTTATGTCGTCTGTGTCTTATACAACTCATGCATACCTTAAGACAGTAAGAAATCACGTGGGACCCAGGCCCTCAAAACAAGAATTTATTGTCAGGCATTTAGTGGCTTTTGTCGTCCACAAAATGAGATCACGTCTAGTTTTGCATCAGAAGTCTTAGTGGGTGAAGAGGATTATGATTGTGTCATGATTTGTTGTAAATTATTTAAGATTTTGTTCATTTTGCATGAAAAGGATTTCCATAAGTACTTTTATACTTATTTTATTACATTCATGAACACACACTGATTAGTGCAGATTCAGGCTAAATACTTTGGTTTACCTCAGTCATGCAAGTGCAGAACTGAATCCCAAACAAGTTTTTTTCTTTAGAAGTAATGATATAGTCATACATTTTAATTTATACCACATTCTGACTTTTTAGATACATTTGCATTTCAAATATGTTCCAAAGACATTAAACAGTAGATGCATTTACCACATAAAATACAAGCACAGCATGCTGAAAATACAATTCATTACAACATAATTAATGCTATCTTTGCAGGTGAATTGTCATGTCTAATGCCACTTTTGTTGCATTAACCAGAATTGCAAAAATAATGATTCACCTTTAAAAAATAATTGGATTCAGGAACTATTAGTCTAATGAATGTCCGTTAACATCCAAGCCAGGAAGTTGTCTTATCTGCTCCAATAATTTCCTTTTGTTTGACGTCATATTTATACACATCTGAGCCAACAAAGAAATGAAGAGAACCTGAAAAAAGTATAGTGATGGATGAAAGTTATGTGAAAATACATGTTAGATAAATTATAGACCAATTGTAATCAGACTGGTACCTACCATCTTTATAAATTGCTGCACTTATGGGCCCATTTATTTCTGGGAAATCATCAGTAATGTTACGTGGGCTTGAGTCATTCATTGTCTTGTTGTGTTCATTATACCTATGAGAAATTTTTTTTTCAGTGTCATTCATTGAGACTGATATTAGTGATACATTGCTCTTGTATCTTTATAGTTCACCTCCAATACTGGTGTTGGGTGAAGAATAGAGTGTGTACAGTTTTGTGAATGTGGACTGCAGCATCTATCTGCTGTACCCATGACGGGAACCCCAGACTGCTGATGTTTTTCGGTCTGCCTTTTACTTGGGATCCTTTCACAGTCCAGAAAATTGTCCCTGTATTGAATGTAGAACAGAAAATGTGTTTTTTTAACATCTTGAAGGCAATTCAGGACTACATAATGTCAAACATGTCCGTACCGTTGAACAGATATGCTGTTGACCGCTGTGGGACCCAGTAAGCAGCGTCGATCTGACAATCAATTTTTGGCATGAAATTGCTGATGGGACCTTCCTTTATATCATTTTGATTATTGTGTTTGATCCACAAGTATCTGCAATGGTACAAATAGAGTTAAAGGGTTAATTCACCCAAAAATGAAAATTAGCCTGTGTTTTACTCACCCTCAAGCCATCCTAGGTGTATATGATTTTCTTCTTTCAGATGAATCCAATTGGAGTTATATTAAAAATCGTCCTGGTTCTTCTAAGCTCTATGATTGTAGTGGTTTCTGTTTAACAGTCCAAAACACGTTAAATAAAGCACGCGCATCCATAATAAAACGTGCCTCACACGGCTCCAGGGCATGAATAAAGGCCTCCTTTAGCAAATCCGTACGTTTTTGTAAGAAAAATATCCATATTTCAAACGTAATAAACACTTTTCTCTCACTTCTGCTGACTGTCGTATGCGGAAGCGTTCCGGCAGATGACGTAGGACGTATGCGTCACGCGCGCGCCTCTGAGATATGCTAGTCTCACGAGTTTAAGGAAGCAAAGTTTCCTTACTTTCTTCTCTTGGCTTATATCAAAATCCTCCGACATTTTTCTTTACAAATACTCGTTTTGTACTTCTAATTCATGACCGGCGTTTTGTTTTATGCTCTCTCCGCGTTCGTCACTAATCACGCAACGCCGACGTCCTACATCATCCGAACGGCTTCCACGTATGACAGATAGCAGAAGTGATAGAAAAGTGTTTATTACGTTTGAAATATTAATATTTTTCTGACAAAAACACATGGATTCACTACAGGAGGACTTCATTCACCCCCTGGAGCTGTGTGAGGCACGTTTTATTATGGATGCGCACGCTTTATTTAACATGTTTTAGACTGTTAAACAGAAACACCTGCCCACTACAATGATACAGCTTAGAAGAGCCAGGACAATTTTTAATATAACTCCAATTGGATACGTCTGAAAGAAGAAAGTTACATACACCTAGGATGGCTTGAGGGTGAGTAAAACACAGGCTAATTAAAATTTTGGGGTGAACTAACCCTTTAAATTTGATAACTTTATATGATAAAATTTGAGCATGTGATATAAGCAAGTAAATATCGCAAAGAGTTTATTCAAGAGCATGTGGACCTGTCTGTATTATTAAATAAATTATGGCATCCAGGAGTCTTAAAAAATTATGCGATTAATTAAGTTGGAGATATTTTATATTTAGCACACTTCAATATTATGGCATTTTGAAAACCTAAAAAAATTAAAGGTAATTGTGTCAAAGTTACAACTGTGAGAAATTAAGTTAGAATTGTGAAATATACACAATTATGTATATATATATATATATATATATATATATATATATATATATATATATATATATATATATATATATATATATATATATATA